ATGAAGAATGATCATTTTAATAGATGCAGAAAAAACATCTGACAAAATCCAACATCCATTCATGATTAAGAACTCTCAGAAAACTAGGAGTAAAAGGGAATTTCCTCAACCTGATAAAGACCATCTACAAAAATCTACACCTGATACACTTAATGGTAAAAGACTGCATGCTCGCCCCCTAATACTGGTGACAAGGCAAGGATGTGTCTGATATCACCACTCCTTTCACCATCATACTGGAAGGTCTAACCAGTGCAGCAAGACAAGGAAAAGAAATAAAAGGCGTTGGAAAGGAAAACTGGAAAGACTGGAAAAAAATAAAACATTTATTATAAATAATAATCTGCAGACATGACTACGTAGAAAACTTTTAAAAAATCTACATAAGTGAATCTGGCAAGGTGTCAGGATACAAGGTCAAAATACAAAAATCAATCATATATCTAGATATTAGCAATGCACATTTTGGAAATTGAAAATTTTTAAAGTACCATTTACAAAAGCACACACAAAAAAACCCATAAAGTACTAACAATATATGTGCAAGATCTGTATGCTAAAATCTAAAAACACTGATAAAAGAAATCAAAGACCTATATAAATGGAGCAACATGCTGCATTCATGGATTAGAGGACAAATATTAAGAGGTTCACCCTCCCTGAACTGGTCTATGGATTCAATGCAATCATTATCAACATCCAAGCAGGTGGTTTGGTTCTTGTCAGCAGGCTGATTCTAAAATGTACATAGCAAGGCAAAGGAACTAAAATTAGCAACAGTTTTCAAAAAGAACATAGTTGCATTACTTATGCAAAGCTACAGTGATCACGCAGTGTAGTATGGGTGAAAGCTCAGACGTATAAACTAATGGAATAGGTCAGAAATAGACTAATGCTGTGTCAACTGATTTTCAACAAAGGTGCAAAGAAAAATGAACCTCAGTCTATATATGGTACATATATAATTTTTATATGTAAACAGATACAAAAACCAACTCAAATCAATCAGACGTAAATATAAAAACTGAAAGCTATTAAACTTCTAAAAATATTAAAAATTTTTGTCACCTTAAGTTAGGCAGATTTCTTAGATATGACACCAAAAGGATAACCCATTAAAGAAAAACTTGAAAAAGTGGACTTCTGTGAAAATTAAGAATTTCTGCTCTTCAAAAAGCTCTGTGCAAAGACAAACCCCATACTGGGAGAAAATATTTATAAAGCATATGTGATAAAGTCTGGTGTCCAGATTATAGAAAATAATATCTGACTAGAAACATGTAAACACAAATTGGGTTACCATTTTTGACCTTTTCTGATTGACCAAGACAAAACACGAGGTTTTTGTCCATTATTGAGAGTGTGAAGATAGGGGTGTATTTGTGATGGAACTTCCATTTTTGGAACAGAAATTTGACAATATGTACCAAATCTTAAATACACCCATATCCTTTAATACAGTACAGTTCTAGGAATGTATCCTAAAAATCTTACACACCAAGGCTGGTATGTATGGTCACTATTCCAATATTTCCACTTGCAAAAATGAAAATAAAAATCAATCTTGGTAACAGGCACTAGTTAAATAAATAAAGGATCAGCCACAGATTATGAGGCTATTCAGAGGGGAAATCTGGCTTAAAGTATGCCCAGAAGAGAGAGAACAAAAGAAATTCATACAAATGTGAATGGGAGTTTTCTCTGCATGATTAACTGCTGGGGTATTTTTTTCTTTTTTTGGTCTATGTGAAGAACATGTATTCAGAAGGCAGAAGTTACTTTTTTTTTAAAGGAATTTAGACGTTCGAGTTAAATCAGCATAAACGTGCGACATGAAAGTCCTGGTGTCCTTGTCAAGGAGAAAGTGAACATGGTGCATAAGGATCTGATCTTGCAAGGGGAAGGGGGCAGACTGAATAACCTGTGACTGAAAGCGCAGTTCACAATTCCCTTCATTTTTGCTACTTCTCCCGTAAGTTATGGCCGTGACAGCATAGTTGATATTTGGGTCCCCCCTCCATCACTCACTCCAGGATCACGTTGGATAGTGGTTTTATTTGGGCATAAATACACTTCGGAGTTTCCCTTTATCTGGTTCCCACATTTGGTTTTTAATCATGAAGCTCTCTCAATATAGAAACAGAATCTCATTTATGCATTCTCAAAAATACAAAAATTGTGTTGGTCAAGGCTTAACTGGTGTCCCCTAGTGGGATAGTCCTCAAATGACTGGCTGCTGTTCACATAAGTGCAGAACATTTTAAAAAGGTAAATAAATACTAGCTTTCTCCCTTTAGGCCAGTTTAATTATTTTTGTTTGCCAAATTGCTCCTTTGGCAGGAAACTAAATTTTGTAGTGCCTTCCTTTTTATAGGTACGTGCTAAGGTGCGCCTTTTCATACATGCGTATTATTAACTTTAAGCCTGCAAGGTGGGCGTTCATTTCTTACACAGTAGGTCACAAAGTTCAATACCATTATGCAATAACACGTCAAGGAGACAAAACTCAATTTATCATTACACTTAAAACCAGCATCCGAGAACCTCAAGACTTTGTAAATTCTCTCAGCTTTTGATTAACACCAAAGAGTGAGACATAATGTCTTGACCTTATATGCACAGTTACAAGATGAAGCGGAACGAGTTTCCAAGGCTTTCTGGAGAGGAGGGGTGTATAAAAAAACCTTTTAACCATGGTGTCTCTCTCACACACACACAAAGCTTTAATTATCAACCGTCTGAACAGATAAGTATCTAAAATAGTAATGCTCTCAAATACTACAGTAAAATTGACTTGATTCTTTATTACCTAGCATATACCTGTCTTTTCTTTCTTTTTTGGGGGTAGGGGTTGGGCCTGGCTTTGTTCTTCCAGAAGTGCACATTACTATCCCCCCTTGAATTTGTATGCGGTAGAAAGAAGATGCTGAAGCAATGTTCCCCAACAAGGTAATGGTTTAAATTTCACTAAAATACTTCTATCAGTAACTGTTTAGCTTTCACAAATAATTTTCCAAGAACAAACACATTACTTGTATAAATACTGTTACAAACTGAAAGAACCTCGGTTTTATTATTTTTAGTTTTCCTTAGGAATGTCTGTGAACAGAATAATCCTCACATTGAAAGTTGTTTTTTAAATCCTCACTTAATTTGAAAGGAAAAAGAGTGTGTGAATGTACTTTTCTATTCCAAAGTCTCGGGGCTTTACAGAAGAAAGCTTAATATCCAATAGTTAAGTTATATAAACATGAGTTTATACAGATACAGATTTATATAACTATTGCCCAGCCACTAAATAAAGATCAAGAGATTAACAGAATGAAAGTTTTTTTTCCTACCATAACTTTTCAAAAAGGTTAAGACAGAGGGATAGAATATGTATATATTTGTAGGTATCAAGAGAATAGGAGAATACAAGCAACTTGACAAGACTAAATGTATTCTATAAAAGATTAACCACGACCATGAGTGGCTGGGCTTATAGTTTGCTACACCAAAGAAATTAAAAATTGATACTTGAGAATATTGTTATAATAATTTATAATAGCATTCCTTTATAGAGGCATTTTAATTTAAGCAATGTTTCTCTCTTAAATATATAAAACTAACCCTTAGTGTCATGGATGAGAATCATCATAGCTACTGCTAAATGAAAGAACAATATCCAAGAGCTGTTTGATGGTGTTATTTCAATACCTACACCCAAACTTTAGGGAAGCAATCTCCCAAGATGATCTTCTGGAAAACTGCCTGATCTGCTCATGGCAGGGGAATAGCCCACTTCCAAGTCAAGCATGAAGAAAAACACAAATTATGAATGTACCCAAGATCCCCAAATAAATTAGTAAAAGTGCCATTATTTTAAGAATTATCAGACATATAATCAAAGTGTTAAACACAAATTCAAATTTGTTAAGTCCAAAAGATACAGTAATTTTATTACATATAATTTCTCCTGTGTGCTAAAAATGTTAACTTACAAGACATAATATCTGTATAAGTGTAGAGGGAATTATGGTGGAATTCTTTAATCATTTTTCATTGGTGAGAAGAGAACAATAAGGTAGTGGACAAATAATAAGAAGCACTCAGAGTCCTCTAAAATTCAAGGCTGTATATTACTGCTCAACCAAAACATACTACCATTCTCTAATATAAATGCCTACTCATTTATCTTTGAAAAATAAAGGTCATTCTTTCTCCATTAAAGCTTCTGCAAGATTGACACAAAGGTTCATTCTACCTATTAAAAATAGGGGTACTCTTCATCTTTGGATAAGGTATCACCATTTAGGGAAAATGTAGTCATATACATATTACTAAATTTTTATTTGAGGCAGCTGTTGGAATCCATTAAGCACTTTTGGAACACTGTACCTTTAAAGTTTGTCTTTAACATTAATAGCTTTGGAAAACCAAAAATAAAAGAAAAACATCTATGACAAAGTACATTTCATTCAGATTTGATAGCAGTAAAATACAAAAAAAAAAAAATTAGTGCAGTGTCAGTTCTATCTATGTAAATCACTTGAGGATAGTTTTATGTTATGGTTTATGACTGACGGATAAAAAAAGTTTTAACTTGTTTAAAAACTTTAAGACTTTGACTTAGTATTTAGTAACGCAAAAATGAAATTAAGCACTGTAAAGTCTTGAAAAATGAAGTTCTACAAACTTGGTTCCCATTTACAACAGTTTCATTAACAGATAATGAATTAAGTGTAGATACAATGTATCCAATACCCTTATAACTACAGTAAAAAAAAAAATCTAGTAGCATGTATAGATCATGATATCCTTAGTAATATCAATATATAGTCAAAACATGTTCATACAGAACCAATACCTCTCCTCCATGTAAAAGAACACTTGTTAAAAATAATTAACAAAAATACCCATAAAACAATGGAACCTCATTTCATTTCACTGCACCCAAAGCTATGACACAAAATATTGGCTTAAAGGGGTAGATTAAAAAGAAAAAGAAAACCAGATTCTCCATTCTTTGTCACTTTTATTCAGTAGTAGTTTTTTTTTTCCTTATTTTCAGTGCCAGACATGGCAAGGAGTGATTACAGCCAACTGTTATTAAAACATTTGTTCGCAACATATACCCCCTTTACCACTGACCCCAAACTGACTCATTTTGTGTGCTTTCGTTGTTTCCTTTTTTATACCACCACCAAGACTGGGTGGAGGGGCAAGGGTAAGAGAGTTGAAGGGGAAGAGTCCAGGAGGCCAGAAGAGGAGGAATGCTACAAGCCACAGTAAGAATGAGCTGTATTTAATTTAAAAAAGGGGGGAGGGGTGTACCCCACAAATGATACAGTAATGAGGATACACAATTAAATCCCATAAGCATGACTGAAGGCTTTCACTGTGTTTGACGTCATCACAATGGAAGGCATAAAAAGTGGAGTAAATCAATGTTGATACAGTCCAATCTAGTCCATTAGGCAAGATGGTGCAAGAAGTCATTTAAATTAAAAGTGCCCTACCCTTACCTAAATGGCTAGCAGACATGGAGAACACCACAGTGAAGAATCCACAGAGCTTTCTCCATGTAGCTATTAAAAATGTGTTGTCGAATGGCACATTGTCAAACACTGGAAAAGGGGCGCCACAATGGACCTCTCTCTTTTTTAAGTATGAATGCTAGATTCAACTATCTCAACTAAGCAGGAAGTGGGCTCTTCTGCTAGGAATGCCAACCCTAATTCACTTTGTCTTGAAATATATACAGATTGTTTGTAGTAGCTACAGCAATGATATTTTCCTTGGGGTGCCAGGCTGTATGAAGTATTTTCTTGTTGAAGTCTAGGCTGTCAACGCTTATTTCATCTTTCTTTCGCTTGCCACTTGCACACACTTTGCGTGGCTTCAGAACTGTGCGAGGTTTATTGTTTTCCCGTGATGCTTCTAGGGTTATGTCTCGTTTTGTGTTCCGGTCAAACATTCTGAAGAAATTATTGTAAGATCCAGTCATGACAACACTGTAAAAGTAGACAGAGCACTCAGTCAAATAATGAACATTAGTTTTCAATGGTGAAACCTTGCCTAGTACTCCAAAGAGCGAGCTACCTCAAGCACATTTCGATTTAAGGAGGGGGCGGCTGACACCAACCCAGGGAACAGTCACTCGAATAAACTAGGAATATAGTATTAGTAAACTTGATTTTCTATTAATGACTCCTTTTCATGACTACCAAAACTGTCAGCAAAGTTGAAAGCATCCTCAAGCAAAGCTTGTAAGTAGTACTGAATTATGTTAGTGGAGTATTTTTGCAACTTCAGTCTGTGCAACCAACTAGACCAGCCAGCTTCTACCAACCAACCAACAACAACAACAACAAAAACCAAAACGATGGTATACAGCTTTCTGTAAGAAACCAATGCTTTATTTTATGACTTACATTATAAGCTATTTATGTCCCCAGGACACTGTCTGGTTCAGACAATAACGTCTTATGTATGCTTATAAAAAATCTGCTTCAGAGTATATAAAGAAAGTAGCATATACAACTATTATTAACAGAAAATCGTTTAACCTATAACACTAAATATATTTTAAACAAGTATTTTTTGACAAATATTTTTAATAGTATCAGTTTGCAGGGGCACCACATTCTTGCCTATTAACCCTAAGATGATTTTTCTGTCAGTCCTACTCGCCATCCATCACGGCTCAACATCTGCTAAGCAGCCCAATGAGCAAAACTTCACATGTTTGAAACCATTAATAAATTACTTACATCCTTCCCAATTGGTTTAAATTATTATTGTAAATAAGATTATAGGACACCGGGAACTGTTTAAGGTAATGCTTGAAAACATCTCTGAATACTTACAAATATTATACATTATACAGGGTCATATATTAAATACAAATGATTATGACCTATTCATTAATGTCAATTCTCCCAAAGGACACTTCACAACATTTTAACCAAACTCAGGTCGGTGCATATTCCTGAGGGTAATAAAACTGTATTTCTTTTAAAATAATTTCTGTAGTTTAGACTGGCATCCCCATGTTAGCTGAACTTGTGAGGTTTTAATGGATTAGGGCACCTAGTCTATGCTATTTTAAAAGGTGGTGTTAGCCAGCATTTCTGTGGTATTCTTGCCAAAAATGTATAACTGGAATCTAAACACGAGAGAATATTAGACAACACTCAAATTAAGGAAAATTCTACAAAATAAATTGCCTGTGGTTTTCAAAAGCCAAGGTCATGAAAGACAAGGGAAGAATGAAGAACTCTTCCAGATTAAAGGAGACTAATGAGATGTGAAAATTAAATGAAACATATACTTTTGGATTGGATACCAGATTTTTTTTCTCTGCTAGAAAGGACATCATTGAGAGAACTCGTGTTATTTATGGGGATCTGTGGATTAGACGGCAGTACTGCATCAATGCAAATTTTTCTGCTTTAGATGCCTATACTATCATTATATAGGAGAGTCTTTCAAAAAAATTTTTTTTATGTTAAGGGAAATAAACAATTTTTCCTGACAATGGAACACGACATTTAAACACTACGAGGATGAGCTGGCCATAGCACTGCGCCATATCCTGCTCCACCAGTGTCGCCTTCCCTTTCCTGTCTCCTTGACGCCTCGGGTGAGCAGTGGCGTTCAGAGACGAAGCCTGCTTGCTCCTACTTCAGGTGTGCTGTGGCCAGCCTACAGGGCCTCATATTATAATCAGATAAAAACAATTTTAAAAATCAGACAAAAGATAAATTATCCAAGTTCTATTATCTTCAAAAGCACCATGAAACCTGACTCATACCAAGCTTCAGCAATAAAACTATTGTTGAATACTCTAATGAGTACCTTGAAAGCAAGTTTAATAATTCCAGAATTATGTTTTCTTTTACTATTATCTGTTCTATTGGAACATAATAAATATATACTGACATTTAAAAATGGAATGATTAAGACTTATTTATCCTTCGAAATAATGGTACACATTTTGATGAAGTTGTGGATTATAAAAAGCTTAATTACTCATGGTAATATGGTTAAAATAATACATGGTAATTACCTCTTCTCTTCTATGAGGTATTAACGTAGTACCTGGAAAAACCAGTGTGTAACGCTGCAAATGAAGTATCTACTGCCTAAATATTTCTAAGAACAATTTAATAGCAAAGTAACAACCAAATTGAAATTTCACCATTTTAACCACTGGCATGTCAAAAATGTGATTGATCTGGTTCATAAAAGGTAAAGTTTAAAATTTATATCATAATATATTATATCTAGAATTTTTTGGGATACTTTCACATTTACTAGTGAAACATAATGTTTAATTTTTATCTGCCAATACTGCTGTAAGATTACTAAATTTATTTCAAGGAAACCCTAGGGAAAATGAAGTTGGTAAATGTAATTTATGTCAGTTTAAAAACAGGTTGGCTGTTAGTAAATGTAGCAACCATACTAGGAGTGAAATAGTAAATTTCTCTCCTCTAATGAAATTCAATTTGACTAAGGGGTTCAGTTCAAACTATCAATTTACCTGTCAGATCCATTCCAACAACATTCAAATTTGTCAAATATGCAGTCATTTTCATATAGTGAACAAAGTTTACTTCTGAGGTATTCATGCACCTGGGGAAAAAACAAATATATATGTATACTTAGCTTACACCTTAAGATCTGCTGCTCTTGAAATTAGAAAATGATTTAACAAATCTATATATTTTTAAGGCATATAAAAACATGTATACGTACCTTTTAATCTCATTAAAACTCAATTCTCAAAACAAACAAACAAAAAACTCAGTTCTCTGAGAAACAGTAAAGGTATTTTATCCTTTCACAGACATCTGATCCGCCTTCCATGAACACACATTTTCCTCTCGTACAATAGAGAAAAATACCCTTCTGGGCATGGCACATGTACTCTTTACAAGCTCGACTGAAATATTTAGGCCAGAAAACATTTAAAACTGGCACAGATAAGAGACTAAAGAATATTATAGCAATATTTGAATTTGCTAACACTTGATTTTCAGCCCATTAATTGTTGATTAAAAAACACGCAATACTGTGGCTTTACTTCCTTTTTAACTACCATTTTGGGGGCATAAATAACTGAAGCCTACAATACCTTATTAAGTGCATACGTTATGCATTGCATGACCCTGCCCTAGTTTGGCGATAAATTATATGGTTATTCCAGGTATGTGTTATGGGAATATTTGATATACTTGTTATTACTTATACAATATCCAAAGATAATGAAAATGTAGCTCTGTTTTTTGAAGTATAATTCTATGTTTACTCACTAGTATTTCACAAAGGGATCAACTAGAAAATAAATTAGTTACATAAAAAGTATTCTGAGAAATGATACAATTCTATATTAATATTACTAAATTACAAAGGACAGTTCCAAAGTATTTGTTGTGATCATAAGGAAAAAAAACAAGTTTCTATCTCACTATGCTTTTTTACTTAAAGAGAACCTTAAAAAGAAGTAATGATAGAAAAGAGTAGGTACCTTGGGACTTCCCTGATGGCACAGTGGTTAAGAATCCGCCTGCCAATGCAGGGGACATGGGTTCAAGCCCTGGTCCAGGAAGATCCCACATGCCGCGGAGCAACTAAGCCCATGCGCCACAACTACTGAGGCCACGTGCCACAACTACTGAAGCCCGCGCGCCTAGAGCCCATGCTCCGCAACAAGAGAAGCCACCGCAATGAGAAGCCCACGCACCACAACAAAGAGTAGCCCCCGCTCGCCACAACTAGAGAAAGCCCACGTGCAGCAACAAAGACCCAATGCAGCCATAAATAAATAAATAAATTTATTTTTTTTAAAGAGTAGGTACCTTCTCAATGCTTAGAATTCTCTATGAAACAACCTAAAGTCATTTTAACTGTCCATTTCAATTACACATATTCAATAATAGCTGAATCTGCATATGCCACATTTGAGCATGATGTGACTCTACTCCCAATCACTAATCTAGCACAGCATAGGTAGAAAAACTGCAAATCAGGTAAAACAGGTAAATCATGATAATTCAGCCAAGTTTTAGAGTGCACATACAGGGTTTCTCACCAAACAATGTAAGAGAATGAAGTTAAGGTTCAGACCAATTATTCTCAGTGGGAATGGGGTGGTGGTGGTGATAGTGATGGTGGTGCAGATCACTAGGAGATAGATCAGAATCTCGGCAGTTACACAAATGTAATTTAAAAACAAAGCAGTATTGTATCCCTTTGTTGTTTCAATGTAGCATTTATTTTGAAATTTCAAGTACCATTAAGGAGACTCTTAAGTGGTTCATGTTTGTCAAAGAGGATTAGAAAGTTTGAGAAACATCCTTCTAATTTTACTGAGAACATACAACGTAAAGAAGGTACCATTTATAAATTCTGTGTTCCTAAAGCAGTGTTAAATGTTTTCTACACTGCAGCTTAGGGCATAACACAGGTTTCTACTGGCCCCCCGACCCTGTTCCCAGCTGTGCACATCTTCATTCTCTTCTCCAGAAGAAAGGGATCCACGGTAGCGGCTTGGCTGACAAGAAGACAATCCAGAACTGACATCCTACAACAGAAAGGCAGCTCCTAAAGCTGTCTGCTGGGGTCTCACAAGTCCTTCTCCTTTAGGTTAAGACAACAGTTAATTAGCCAGAAGGAGAATGCCAGTTCACTTGACTGGGCACACCAAAGCTAAGCCCTAGTTCAACTAGCACGATCCAGACTCCATCCAGGACACCTCGACTAGGACTGACCATTCTCCCCAATCCTCTTCCCCCAGACCTTGATAGAGACCGTAATTCCATCCTCACTTTAAATGTAGATAACAGGGGAAAAAAGTTATTACCGAACCAAACTGGTAGCTTTACACTTTAAAACTGAATACACAAACACAACCTATAAAAGTGTATATAAATTTAACATAAGCAAAGGCAGTGTACTCATGGATCTCTGAAGGAAAAAGCCTAATGGTGAACACGCACTGCACTGTACTGCGATTAACACATAGTACAAAATCCTTCTCTATAAACACTTAAAAGTAAGTAAACAGGTTATATACTCACTGAAAGAAAAAATTGCAAATACCTGGTATGTTTCCACAGGCCTGTTTTCCATATTTAAGTCCCAAATTTTGACTGACAAATAGTCTCTAGTCATCATATATCGACCACTATGGCTGAATTTTACATCAGAAATTGAAGAGATGATTTCAGAAAAAAAAGACCTGTTACTCGGATCTTCAGGTTCTTCAAACACTAAAAACAAGCAAAATAGGAGGGCTGAGGGCAATTTGTAAATATTCTGGCTTGGACAAAGCATTTACTCAGAACACCATTCATCAACTTCCTAAGAGTGAGCTAAAAATGGCAGGGTAATAAAGAACCGAAAAACATCTCTCTGGCTATAAGAACATACCCTCCCTGAGAGTTTCTTAAGAGAATGAGAGTGACTCAGTACTGAAGTTGAAGATGCAAAAGGACGTTTGTAGCACAGCACCTTCCAGAGTCATTTGGCTAATTCAGCAGAACCAGACTCACTCAAGATGTCTGACTTCAGTGCACCAATCTGAGGTCCTGCATATACCTCACTGACTTTGCCTGTACTGTCACCATGAGAAACACACCATCCTCACCATTCCAACTCATAGCCGCATTTTATTTTTTTAGTGGCCTGGTAAAATTATTTTGATAAGCAGCATGTACCAATCTTCATGAGTTTTTAAAATCTTCAGCAACTTGAAGATAAGAATAATGCAATCCTTTAATTTTTTTTAACCTGGTACTTTTCAAACCTGTTTAAGCCAAAGAAACCTCATCTCAGAAGAAATCTTCCTAGGAAGCTCAAAACATAAAGGAAGAAAGGAAGGGAGGGAACAAAAGAGAGAAGGGAGGCAGGGAAGAAAGGAACTGCTCTACTTGAATACACGACTGGAGAACCCAACCCAAGTTCCCAAGGAATAGCATTCCATTAAAAATACATCCACTGGGACTCAACAGACATGCCCCCAAGAAAGCCTTCTATGCTCTTCCAGTAGAATAACCTATAATCCCTCATGTCGAGTCAGACAGCTTACCAAAGGGAACAGGAGGTTTAAGACTTGTAAACCGATGTAAATGTAGTTACCATGTCTGAAGACAAACAGAAAATGTTATCATTTGAAAACAAGATGCAATAAACTTACGTTTAGAATGCCTATCACAGAGGGCGGATGCCCTCATGTCACATAACCGAATAGTTCCTTTACTGCTGCTGTATACAAATGTGTTACAACTGTTTGGATGGAATTCTGCTGCTGTAATCACCTCTGTCAGCTCCTCCATATTGGCAGGCTTGATATCCACAATATCTGGACAGCATTTTATTAAGGAATTTTCACTTAGAAAAAAGGTCAAGCATAATTTTATGTTTTTCAAATCTAAAATTCATTCATAGACTTAAGCACAACTATTAATTCTAAACTGCATATTACTACTTACATGAGTATAAATCCCAGAGGGATCAAAACTCTTAATGCTTGAAAAAAAGTCTGAGACGAAAACACGGGCGAATTTTAAATCACCTTAGAATGTAGAGGTCTTTTTTTTCTGAGTATGATACAAACCCCAGAAGCCATAAGAAAAAGACTGACACACCATCTTCCTAAATATTAAGAACTTAGTGTACACTCCAAACAAAACAAAAGGAAAAACCTGTATGGCGGCAAAAAAGGGAAACTGTTCGCACACAAACAATGGAGCTGATTTACTTGATGTCAAAAAGGTGCTTTAAAAACAAAGAAATTCCAATAAGAATATAGGCAAATCCAACGAAAAAATATGGAAAGGAACAAAAAGAAATACAAATGGTTGATAAATATGAAAACATGCTCAAATCTACTCAGGATGAAAGAAGCGAATCAAAACGAGAAGTTTTCACTAACTAGACTGCTAAAGGTATAGGAAAACAGGCTCTTTTATACACTATAAACATACCTCGTTTCATTGTGCTTCACTTTTATTGAGCTTCACAGATACTGCAATTTTTTTTATAAATTGAAGTTTTGTAGCAACCCTGCATCTAGCAAGTCTATCAGCGCCATTTTTCCAACTGCATTTGCTCACTTTGTGTCTCTGTCACATTTTGGTTATTATCACAATATTTCAAACTTTTACATTATTATTACATTTGTTATGGTGATCTGTGATCTTTGATGTCACTATTGTAATTGTTTTGGGGTGCCATGAACTGTGCCCACAAGATGGTGAATTTAGTCAATTGTTGAAAGGACAACCAAGGGCTTAGAACATTACATAAACTTAGTTGATAAAGCAGCAGCAAGGTTTGAGGGTACTGACTCCAGTTCTGAAGGGAAGTTCTACTGTGGGTGAAATGCTGTCAAACAGCACTGCAGACTACAGAGAAATCATTCATGAAAGGAAGAGTCAAAACTGACGTGGCAAACTTCGCTGTGGTCTTATTTCAAAGAAGTTGCCCCAGCTCCTCCACCCTTCAGCAGCCACCACTACAGGTATGCCTGTATTGGTAGAGTATGAATAATAGTAGAGTGTTAATTTTTCAAATGATACCTATTTGGAAAGACATACATTAATACTAGTTATAATAACTAACATTTATCAAGAACTTAAAAACATATATATACACTTCTATATTTATATGTATATAGTATATGTGTGTGTATATATCTCATATATCACACACTTGTATATGCACAGAAAAATTTCAGGAGGATAACATAAACAATGAAAATGAGGTTTGGGAAAGTATTTATACTGCCATGCATCATGACTTGTATGAATTTCTTTTTCCAATCTTATTTTTATAATTAAAAACATTTTTTAAGAATAATACTCCACATATTTGTTTCTGTTACAAGAAACAGCTATTTAAAAAATTTTCTATTTTCATAGGTACAAACAGATGAATTCCTTAAAATTCTAAGAATCCAATTATTAAATTGATACATTATGCTTTTTATCAAATAACTTCAGCCAGTGTTTAATCACTTAAACACAAAGAAAAAATGGTATAAAGTAAGAAGCTACTGTAAAAAGAATCAAAACACACTACGGAGAGATGAAAATAAATCCAGTATGGGCACAACATGCATTCTTTACCAAACACCAAAAAAAAGAAACCAAATGGATACTAAAGCTCCTGTCTGTAATTTCCAGATGCCAAAGATTAATCCGCAAATCATCTGCAGATAAATACGTTTCGTAATCACTATTAATAGAAATTGAGTTGATGTGATATGTATGAGCATTGGCAAATATTCGCCGTGGACTGGCCTCAACCATTAGATCCATGGGCCTAAAGACCGGCACCTGTCAACAAGACACATGAAAAACCATTGATTACAAAATGTTTATTGTTTACAAGAGCACTGAAGGTCCAGAATACTTCATTAATCCAGTTTTTGAGGGAACATAAAACAGTATAATATTACACAGATTTAGTTTTATAAAGCAACTGATGTTTGACTGCTTATTTAAAGTGTTAAAATGGGAAGAAAAATGAAAAATTTACCTTCTTTTACAGATAGCAGTACTATGAGAATTTGCAGTTTTTCCCAGTTTCAATCTTTTGCTTGAAAGACTTGCAAAGCTAATAAATGTTTATAATTTAAAGTGGCTAAAAAGGAAATTAGCCCAAAGCATCTAATTCTTGGTATTTTTTTAATTACAACCAGAAGATTTAGTCCATTTCTATTTTTTTTGATCTCCAAAGAAAGTTAACCTTGAAACTTAACCTTCTAACAGCTGACAATCAAACCATGAGAGCAAAAGAGAGTATGGTGGCACAGTATAAAACACAGGCTTGTGCTGAGTCCTGGTTCAGCCCCTGACCACAGTGAAACCTCTCTGTAGATCAGGGTCTGTTTAAAATTTGAGTTATTAATGTTCTATCTGGTTACCGAATCTTGGGAAAGAGCAGACTGTAATTATTCCTACTGATGTTCTACTGAGTATCTATGATATATAACGGGAATACAAAACGTTATTCATCAGAATTAGAACGTTTTTGTTTTTTTTTTTAAATGTACTTACACGTAGTGTAGTGACTGTAGTAGGATCTCTATACCTTCCATCTTCCTCTTTCAAGTTATACCCTTCTGGTCTTTTGTCCCTTTCACTGATTTTCCATAATTTTATTGTTTTATCTGGGGAGAAAATAAAGAAAGTCCTCAAAAAAAAAGATTAAAACTGATAGAAGAAGAACACTTTAAGATATATTTAAACACACCACTTCGTATCCCAAGAATAAAATCCCTGATCTGACTTAACAGAAAACAAATTTCCTACTACCAGATGAATAAAAACATCCATACACAGAAAAACAGTACAGAAATCACTGTTATGTTAATGGCACTCATAAAATTCCATTTGATATTAAAATCAAGTCACAGCCAGGTCCTTATCCTTCAAAAATAATTAAACCTAAAGGGAAAAAACTGTATATTTATGTACATATAAACACATATATGTCTATACATATATACATATACATATATAATGCTTAATATTTAATTTTGCCAGGAGATGGAAATAACCTAAGTGTCCATCATCGGATGAATGGATAAAGAAGCACATGTGGCACATATATACAATGGAGTATTAGCCATAAACAGAAACGAAATTGAGCTATTTGTAATGAAGTGGATGGACCTAGAGTCTGTCATACAGAGTGAAGTAAGTCAGAAAGAGAAAGACAGGGGCTTCCCTGGTGGCGCAGTGGTTGGGAGTCCGCCTGCCGATGCAGGGGACGCGGGTTCGTGCCCCAGTCCGGGAAGATCCCACATGCCGCGGAGCGGCTAGGCCCGTGAGCCATGGCCGCTGAGCCTGTGTGTCTGGAGCCTGTGCTCCGCAACAGGAGAGGCCACAACAGTGAGAGGCCTGCGTACCGCAAAAAAAAAAGAGAAAGACAAATATTGTATGCTAACACATATATATGGAATTTAAGGGAAAAAAACGTCATGAAGAACCTAGGGGTATAAGACAGGAATAAAGACACAGACCTACTAGAGAATGGACTTGAGGATGTGGAGAGGGGGAAGGGTAAGCTGTGACAAAGTGAGAGAGTGGCATGGACATATATACACTACCAAACGTAAAATAGATAGCTAGTGGAAAGCAGCCGCATAGCACAGGGAGATCAGCTTGGTGCTTTGTGACCACCTAGAGGGGTGGGATAGGGAGGGTGGGAGGGAGGGAGATGCAAGAGGGAAGAGATATAGGAACATATGTATATGTATAACTGATTCACTTTGTTATAAAGCAGAAACTAGCACACCATTGTAAAGCAATTATACTCCAATAAAGATGTAAAAAAATTTTAATTTTTACACAAACAACGAAGTCAGTTAAAATAGCCTACTGTTTAGAATAAAAATGATAAAGAATATCTGTCTCCCTTGGTCACACACTTCCTAGCAGATGCTATCAAAGACTCCATAAATTTCTTCATAGGTCTGGGTGGATCTGTTTTTAAAATCTTTCTTTTCCTCTGTTGCATCAGGGATTCAATTCAAATAAGTAACAGGGCCTGAAAATAATTTACCAATTAAAAGCATACGTCCCCAAGTCCTTTGATCCCTGGTCTGGGAAGATCCCACATGCCATGGAGCAACTATGCCCGTGTGCCACAAATATTGAAGCCCGCGCGCCTAGAGCCCATGCTCCACAACAAGAGAAGCCATTGCAATTAGAAGACCTCTCACCGCAACTAGAGAAAAAGCCCACGCACAGCAACAAAGACCCAATGCACGGGCTTCCCTGGTGGCACAGTGGTTGAGAGTCTGCCTGCCGATGCAGGCTCAGCGGCCACAGCTCACGGGCCCAGCCGCTCCGCAGCATGTGGGATCTTCCCAGACCGGGGCATGAACCTGTGTCCCCTGCATCGGCAGGCGGACTCTCAACCACTGCGCCACCAGGGAAGCCCAATAAGCTTTAATTTTGAAGTAAGTTTAGAGTTACAGAGAAGTTGCAGAGTGTTTCCATATACCCTTCACCCAGTTTTTTCTAATGTCAGCATCTTATGCAACCTCAGTACATTTGTTAAAACTAAGAAATTAACATTCTACATTACCATTAACTAAACTCCAGACTTGACTCTGATGTCACCAGGTTTTCCACTAACGCCTCTTTTCTGTTCCAGGATCCAAATAACACTGTATTAGCTGTCAAGCTTCCTTAGTCTCTCTGACTTTACCAATTTCTCAGACTTTCCTTAGTTTTCTTCACCCTGGCGAGGTATTGTGTAGAATGTCCCTGAACTGGGTATGTCTGCTCTTTCCTCATGATCAGACTGGGATCATGGGTTTTTAGGAAGAGCCCAGAGGCGAAGCGAGTGTATACATAGCACCAACGTGACTTTTCCCCTGGTGCTGTTAGATTTGATCACTTGGTTAAGGCAGTAACTGCCAGGTTTCACTACTTGCCCACTGCCATACTCTATTCTTTGGAAGTGAGTCACTAAGTCCAGTCTACACTTAAAAGGACAATTAAGTTACAGTCCCTGCACAGAGGAATATCTGTCCACATATTATTTGTAATTCTCCTTTGTAACAAGCATTCCTTCTCCCCACTTACTTATTTATTCAATCAACCATTTATATCACTATGGACTCAAGCACGTTTATTTAATATTATACTTTGTGTTACAATCCTGAAACTACACTTATAAAAGTATCACATCCTTAATGGCCCTTCATAAGCAAATGGGTATAACACAATTTGAAAAAGCAGTGCATAAAGGCACCGTAGAACTCTGTCATAGAGAGGTAGCAGGGACTCCTCCAGCCTGGTCACCCCTCTCTGCCTGGTGCAGAAGAGCATGCTACGCTGCCCCTGTGGGTGCCCTTTGCAGAGATGAAGTGTACACAGAGAAAAACTGCTAACTTTACTAACTTGTAACCTAGTATTTCATCTGAACCCTCTGTAATCTTGTTTTTCAGTTATATTGCAGGTAAGTTACATGTGTTTTCTATGTGCTATTTAGTTTATATATATTTATATAATTTAGGTAAAGAATGATATATTTTAGAATATTTAACCTGTCCCAAATCTGTAACATAAATGAGCCAAGGCCTGAATTCTACATTTTGGGAGAAATTATCACCTAAATGTGATAAGGATGACACCCCCGCCCCCCGCACATACACATCCCCATGATTATCTTATGGCCTGTTCAAATTCGTCATCCTTACTAAAGATCCAAATAAATCATGATATACTTATCAAACATTTGAAATAAGACGTAATTAGTGTTTGTGGTTCCTAGTAGTGTTATAGGAAGAAAATTCTAAAAAAAAAAAAAAGGAAGAAGAAAACTTGGGTAAACAGATTTTTAAAACAAATTAAACTTCAAAACAAAAATTTTAAAGTGATAAAATTTGTAACTTAAGAGACTTTTTACAACTTTTAATGGCATAAACAAAGGATCCAGAAGTACTACACAATTTTAGTGCAGTGCCTGGGAACAAGGCAGGTCAGGAATTTTAAAAAAAATCAAAATTCTTATGCTCTACAGTAGTGACCTTTTTATCTGGAGTTTTTGGTCCACAGTTAGAGGTACATGAGAATAATCAAACTCCATAAAACTGCATGCAAGATAATGTGAATATACTCATTTTCTGTGAAGGGGATTATCAGATTCCTCAAAGAGAACTGTTGCTTCCCAAAAGTTAAGAACCACTGCTCTGCAGTGTTTCCCTGCACTGTGAACACTGATAACTAAAGAAGTCCACAACCCCAGCACCCCCCTCACCAGAGGGTCAGACCAGGGAGAACCATGCCACCAACTCTCCTCTGTGGGTGTGCAGCTTTTACATAAAATCCAAAAAGCTTCTTAATAATAAGCTGTTAAAACACAACCTGTTTACGAGTGAACTTTGTATTATTCATATATTCAAAGATCCGAGTCAAGAGATTAGAGTTGGACGTTTTTGCATTGTAGAGAAACTGAGAATTCAGAGAAAGGCAAAAGAAGGCTAAAGAGAAAGAGAAAGAGACCACTTGAAGAAACATTGTGAATAAGTTATAAGAAGGTGACTATTAAGTTATTTAAGTAAAAACAATCTGGGAGGGCTTCCCTGGTGGCGCAGTGGTTGAGAGTCCGCCTGCCGAGGCAGGGGACACGGGTTCGTGCCCCGGTCCGGGAAGATCCCACATGCCGCGGAGCAGCTGGGCACGTGCGCCATGGCCGCTGAGCCTGCACATCCGGAGCCTGTGCTCCGCAACGGGAGAGGCCACAACAGTGAGAGGCCCACGTACCAAAAAAAAACAAAAACAGAAACAAACAAACAAAAAAACAATCTGGGAAACACGTAACAGTTTGTGATGATCGTGGAAAGCCAATACAAAGATGAAAGTAAGATTAATTGGGGTTATTCAAAGCTGGAACATTAGGTCCTATTTTCCACTGCTCTCCCCAGTAGTTTCTAATCTTTTTGTGAGTATAAGACCCATTACCTGTGGGGGGAAAAGGTACTATTATGCTATATCTCACAGAGAAAGCTATACGAAATAACAGAAAGATACTGCTCAGATTTAACAGAAGTTGACATTTTTCCATATTTGCTTTCTCTCTTTTGAAAGAATAAAGCTTTTCAGATACAGATTTTTAAGTCCTACTCCTCTCATCCTTTTTCCTATCTCACCATACCCAGACACAGCAGTTTGTAAAATGTCCATACTTGTTCTAGCCTTCCACAATGCACTCTATTTTTAGCACAAAAAATACAGCCCCCACCCCAAAATTTGTATTTTACTTAGTATTCATTAACAACAAAAAGACAAGAACCTACAATGCACTGTGTAGTGTCCTTTAAAATAATTTGTATTATTAATCAATGATTTTTCAAATTTACACAGGAATCCTATTTGGGAAACACTGTTGATTCTGTCCACAGAAAAGTATTACCTAGATTCACATAACCTGACCCAACCACTGCAATTTCCAGTGGTTTCTCCTTCCATTGAGCTTTTGTAGAGTTTAGTGTCTAGAAAGGCTCGCCTGGTTAAATGATGCCTTATCTCAAATCACAGAGGAGCACATGGAAACCTGCATGGAAGACACGTGTGGATATAAATAACTGAAAGAGATTTAAGATTTAATCCATAAGTGAACTGAAATGGAATTTGCTTCCAAATAATACTGAGAAGGAGGGGGAGAAGTACCTGAGAAACAACTGGTGATGAACTGAGAACTATTGAAGCTGGGTGTTGGGTATATGGGGCTTCATTATTCTGCTTCAGCTTGTACTTTAAAAATTCCCCTCTATAAAAAGTAAAATGATTTAGCCTATAAGAAGTGAACTGGGACTTCCCTGGTGGCGCAGAGGTTAAGAATCCACCAGCCAGTGCAGGGGAAAATGGGTTCGAGCCCTGGTCTGGGAAGATCCCACATGCCACAGAGCAACTAAGCCCATGGGCCACAACTACTGAGTCTGTGAGCCACAACTACTGAGCCCGCGTGTGTACAGCCCGTGCTCTGCAACAAGAGAAGCCACCGCAATGAGAAGCCCGCACACTGCAACGAAGAGTAGCCCCTGCTCGCCGCAACTAGAGAAAGCCCACGTACAGCAATGAAGACCCTATGCAGCCAAAAATTAATTAATCAATTAATTTTTTTAAAAAAGTGAACCGCCAAAATTACTAAGAGCAAACACACTTCCTGGAACATTTAATTCCAAAGCAGAAACTACATAAATGGTATAATTACATAGTATTTGTGTCAAAGAGCAGTATCTGAAGTGCTATTTGAAATAACTTAGTTACCTATGTAAATTAAAACTGAACCAAGATTAGAAGCCAACATGTGACATGAGTAAACATATAACCTCCATCTCGGATGCTCTAAGTTACAAGCTTTAAATCATTATTTCTATTTATTTTTCTTTTAGTAAGAAGAGAGGGGAATGCAGTTTATGTGAAAAGAGAGGGGGTAGATGGTACAGATTTCAATGGACTTGTTAGGGAGAACTTTGACAATCAGAAAAATTGGCATCTAACAGGAAGCAAACATTTATGTTGTCAGCTAGTGGCATCATTCTGGGGAATGCATTTCCAATAATTGGATACAATGGTGATAAGGCCTAAGGTGGATGAGGGCAGCACTTAATACTGTCTACTGGGTCACCCCCGAAGTCACTTGAGTTTACATTCTGCAAGTGCTAAAGAATGGTGAGGTCTAGGTGCTAAAATCTGATTTTATTAACACCGAGGGGATGAGAAAATGAGAGGTTTTCCCCAATCCTTGTGCCAGCCTCAAAAAACTTTTAATCTAAATTTTTTACAGACTATGGCTACCCAGAACACCTGGACGTACCCCTCAATCACTCTAATGCTTCTTCTCTTTAGACTCAAATCCACAGGGATAAACCAGGTCACAACAACTCATGTGAAAAAAATTTAGAAGAACTAAAGAAATGACCCACTTCTTAACCTGTCATAAAGGATTTTAAATTCTGGTAGAGTCATTATATAATTCTAACCGTCACTTAATAACGTTTCCTGAACAAACAAAACAGTGTAAGAAGCATCTTCTTACAGCCATAAGGCTCGCTGGGAAGAAGGCAGTGAGTCAACTCCGGTTTGTGTCCTTCTTGGATGGGGAACAAGTAAGAAGAGTGTTCTCCTAGAGAGTATCCTGGAATGGGGGCCATCCTTTGACAGAGTGTTTTGTATTTACAGTTTGAAATACTCTTTGGAGAGTTAGGCACACTTAAAAAGGAAGAGGAAAGGAAATTAATATTTACCGAGCACTCACTATGTACACTAGGAGTCACAACATCTGCTCCTCACAGCCGTACTGTAACACAGATATTACCATCTCCAGTTTGCAGATGAGAGAAACTTGATTCAGTGTTAGTAACCTGCCCAAGGTGACTAAGCCAAGAAGTGGCAGAAACAGGATCTGACCCAAACCGAATGGTAAAGCTCATTCTTCTCACTACAAACTGTGTGGACTAAAAGAAGTGGACGCCTGAGGATCTCTTTCATAGAATTTAAAAACTAAAAGACAATAAAAAAGGGAAGACAAAAAAGAAGAGTTTACACTCTACATAGGGAAAAAATATTTCCAAATGTCTATTTGTGGAGATCTCTTAACAACTACTCCTCTTTGAAAAGGGGAAAGCATCCTACAGGCTTATGTGTACATACTGGGCATATGAAAAGAAAAAATTTACACTTACCATTGGTAGACAATAAAAACTGAGCAGCATTTTTCTGCGGTAACCACCTAATTTTGTTGATCTTTTCTTCTATTTCTAAACTTTTCAAGTAGTCAAACTCTGGTTCATGGCTCTGAAAGGTGCTGTAAACATTATATTCTCCTCTGCTATGAGACTGGATTTTGTTCTAAAATGGAAACAAAAATATTTGGACCAGTTGAGAAATATTTCAAATTAATCAAACATATAATCAATTCCAACAGATCCTGAATCTTATATACATTATACTGTTTTTTATATTTAAAGGCTTTCAAGGAATAAATACAAATGCTTAAAAGAAAAAAAAGGAAAAGCTAAATAAAGCCTAATAATTAGGCCCAATTCAGGAGGAAAAGTGTTAATAAAATACAGATCAGTTTGCTGATTACTTTACCTTTGTATATGACATAGTACAGAGGACTACTGAGCATACATAACAAAAAGTAAAGATTAAATAAGAAAAGCTCATCAGGAACAGCTGGCTGAGGCACACCTTTCTTTGCCCACTGTTTTAAGGATCAATTCTCTATCTGTTACGTAACACGAGGTATTGTCCTCTTCCTTTCCCTTTCTCATGCCTGCCTTTAGGTCAATTCACTGCTGAAAAACTCTTTAAGAGAAGAGCTCTCATAAATGCAACAGCACATCTGACCCCGACCCCCCCCCTCCCCCCCGCCAAGACCAGAGTTACAGGGCTCTATTACCCACTGAGCCCACATTCAGCAATACCCAGCAGGCCTCACCCCATCAACAACTGCGTACCCTCCTTGAATTATCTTTCTTATATTATGAGCCTAGCACGCACCAACGATTTATTTCACTTAGTGTCATAAGCTATTGGATAAAGAGACTACCTGTGAACTTCCTTAGTTAACACTACCTTAGCAAAAATGAGAATTATAACCATGTTCAGAATTTTACCTTTTAATCCATCATCACATAATCAAAAACCTTTCCACCAAAAACATTAAATGTCTAGTTCAAAAAAACCAATGGAAAAATAGATATTATTTATAATCAACTGTTTTAAGTAAAAGTGAATTAGCAAATGAAACGTTTAAGATTACTTGATAATAAGAATGACCTGTTAGTCATTATTATTATTTCTCCTTATAAAAAGAAAACTTCATTGAATCATCATCTTGTAAGTGTATGTTTTGGGTTGTTTTTTTCCAGTAGCTTGATTATCTGGATCGATCATTCATGGTTACAGTTGTATGTGGGTCCTCTGACAGTAGTATCAATTATTACTGAGTGGGTTTGCCAATACTGAGAATGCAGAGCACACCATAGAACATAATCCACACCGGGGATATGGAAAGGGTAAAAATCAAACTCAGAACCTTGGTCTCATTACCATACTCTTACACCAAATCTGATAACCTAACCCATTTAATGTGTACACGCTAATATCTCACCAGAAGAAATTCTGTAAGTCTTCCACTGAAAGTTACTCAGTCTCTAAACGTTTGTCATGTTACTCTCCAAAAAAAGCTACAATATAATGCAGTGTTTTTAACTTAAGCTAGAGACTATAGTACTATGTACACTAGGTCCCAGAGGTACAGAGAAATTTAATAACACAGAATCTCTAACTTCTGGTAACTTGTGTGTGTGAAACTTTAGTCAAAAGTAGAAATTAAGGTCCATATAATTCAGGTAAGCAAAACAAAGAGCCAAGGTATATGCAGAAACTAGGTCTATCAGGGTCTGTATCTGATGATAAGGAAAAGAAAAGCACAACCATATAAAAATATTTTCTACAACAGAAAAATAACATCATCCTTAAGACTCAAGAATAACCAAATGGGTCTAAACATGATCTATTACATGATTCAGAAACAAAATCATTGGAGGTGTTTGGCCTTCTCAATGGATTGCAAGAAGCACTGTTTCTTTCCGACAGGAGAAAAAAAAAAAATATATATATATATATATGTATATATGTATACACACACACCACACAGGAGAAAGTTACAGCTGACAAGTTAAAGATACATGACGCATGTGGACTCTCTCCTGAAACTATGCTAAAATTACAGTGAACTTTTAAAGACAATGGGTAAGAACAAAAAAATAACAGGAGAGATGACAGCAGCAGTAACAAATGAAAGATGTCATAAAACAGATGCCATAAAACAATGACCGACTTAATGAACTGCAGAGCCGGACCCTAGCAGACAGTGGGATTTTCCCTAAAACGTGGGGAGGGATGTTTACATTATAATGGTCAGGACAGCACTGTTCTCTGCATGAACTAAGTACACTGAGCAAACGAAAAAAAGGAACATAATCCCATGTCCTCAACACTGTGCCACTCGAACAAGAATGCATCAAAGTCAAAGAAGGCTATTTTATTTTTGTTTTAAAAACTCTCCTACAATCAGAGAGAATCATGATACATTCCAGAATGCTTCATATTTGGGTTTTTCTTGCACAGCCTTCCAGAATCTACTTGCACAGCCTTCCAGAATCTATTTTCTTAACCACACAATCTATTTATGTGAAATCTTCTTAATGAATTTAGAAACGCTCCATCCCAACACATGTAATAGTATCTGGCATATAACAGGCATTCAATAAAAATTTTCTAAATGAACAAAAATAAAAGCAAAAAGAATGAATAAAAGGTGGCACTAGTATGGTAAAGGGAAGCTGGAATTAACCTGGCAAATGGAGTATGGTGCAGAAATTACGAAGAATGGGTTAGATGCACACACAGCAAGACAGAAGGTTCTGGGAAACACAGCTCTTAGTGATAAAGTAGGACACAGAATGAGGTGCAAGACAGAGTATTCTTCACATACATTGAAAAACACAGTCCACAAAAACAAAATCACATACTTCAACATGGACACAAACAGAAGCCACAAATACATAAAGGATACTATATCATGATCAAGTTTTAAAGCCACAATGAAGACAGTGTGGTGCTCACACGAGAACTGACAAATATACCAATGGAATAGAACAGATGGCCCAGAAACAGGCCTGAATTTGGACAAAAGTGGCACTGCTGAGCCAGGATGGTCTTCTCACTAAATAGTTTTTGGTTAATTGGCTATTCATATATAATAAAACAAACCCTGACCCCTACTACACCTCAAGCCACTCATGTAAACTGATTCCAGGTGAATCAAAAATATAAATGTGAATATGTCTAGTACAACACTGTCCAAGAGAGCTTTCCGCAAATAGCCTGTATCTGTGCTGTCCAATATGGTAGCCACCAGCCACATGTGGTTACTGAGCACCTGAAATGTAGCTACTGTGACTAAGGAAGTGAACTTTAAATTTTACTTAATTTTAATTAATTAAAATTTAAATAGCCACAGGGATCTACTAACTACCATACTAGAGAGCACAGATCTAAAAGATAAAAGAAATGTAGACCTTCCTGGACCTTGGGGTAGAGAAGTATTTCTCATACAGCACAGAAAAAGCAGTTAGGTCTAGAGAAAACATTGATAAACTGAATTATATTAATAACCTCTATTTGTCAAAAGATACCATTCAGAAAAAATGAAAAGGTAAGTCACAGAATGGAAGATAGATACTTCCAACAAACACAACTGACAAAGGGTTCATATATTCAAAAAGTGCAAAAAGCCTACAAATCAATAAGAAAAATGACAAACAACCCAGCAGAAAAGAAGTGCAAGAGATTTCAGTAGGTACTTCACAAAAGATGATATCCAATGGCCAATAAACACATAAAAGGATGCTGAACCTTGGCGTTAATCAAGAAAAGTACAAATTAAAACCACCATAAGATACCCTCATAACCTCCGAATGTTTAAATTTTAAAATTACTGACAATACAAAGCACTGGCAAAGATGTGGAACAGCTAGAATTTTCATATATCGTTCATGTGAATAAAACTGGCAGAACCACTTTTTACTGTGTTGTCTACTAAAACTAAATGCCTACCCCCCATGACATGATAATTTCATGCATGACAATGTGCACCAAAAAATCTGCTCAAGAGTGTTTGCAGCAGCATTATTAAGCCATGAACTGAAACAACCACAATGTCTGCATCTATTTATAACAGAATGGACAAATTGTGGTCCAGTTTTACAAAAGAACATTATATAGCAATGAAAGTGAGCAAATTATTACACAAACATAAACTGAGCAAAAAGGCCAGACATAAAATACTTACTGTGGATTCCATTTATAAAAAGTTCTATAACTACAAGCCAAACTAAGTGTTAGAAGACAGGTTTACAAGGGGAGGAAAGAGAAAGGAATGACTGAGAAGGGGAATGAGAAGGGTTAAAGGAAGGATGGGAAGTTCTGTGTGTGATAATCCACTAGTCTTTTGTGCACTTTTCTGTGTATATTTCAAAACAGCTTTTTAAAAAATACAGCATAGAAACTGTGCAGCCACTTTGAAAACTGTATGGGCGTTCCTCAAAAAAATAAAAAATAGGGTTTCTCTGGTGACGCAGTGGTTAAGAATACGCCTGCCAATGCAGGGGACACAGGTTCGAGCCCTGGTCGGGTAAGATCCCACCTGCCACGGAGCAGCTAAGCCCGTGCACCACAACTACTGAAGCCCATGCGCCTAGAGCCTGTGCTCCGCAACAAGAGAAGCCACCGCAATGAGACGCCTGCACAATGCAACAAAGAGTAGCCCCCGCTCACCGCAAGTAGAGAAAGCCCGCACACAGCAACGAAGACCCAGCACAGCCAAAAATAAATAAATTTAAAAATAAATTTATTAAAAAAAAAAAAAAAAAAAAGTACTTCCCTAGCGTTCCAGTGGTTAAGACTCCACGTTTCCACTGCAGGGGGCACAGGTTCGATCCCCTGTCAGGGAACTAAGATCCTGCATGCCACGAGGCACAGGTGGGGGGGCGGGGGAAACTACCATATGATCCAGCAATCTGGTATATATCCAAAATAACTGAAAACAGAATCTCAAATGAGATTATTCACAATAGCTAAGAAGTGGAAACAACCTAAATGTCCACCGACTGATAAATGAATAAAGAAAATGTGGTGTGTGTGTGTATAATATACATTTAATGGAATATTATTCAGCCTTAAAAAAAAAAAAGGAACTCCTGTCATAGGCTACAACATGGATGAACCTTAAGGACATTATGCCAAGTGAAATAAGCCAGTCAAAAATGACAAAT